CTGCCGGTGCCCCTCACTCCCGACCCGCAGCCCCTGCTAACCCAGGCCCAGGCTTTCCATCTGTGACGGGTTCCCTGGGGTGCAGCCTGGAACCGGGGTACCGCTGAGCCCTCTGTCCCACCAACCTGGGCTCCCTCTCACACTGTGATGCTGTTGCTAGTCACAAACCTCTGGCAGGACCTGCACTCACACAGCCATCGATAGGCAGGGACACACCCAGCCGAGTTAAATGGATGCTTCTCCCAGACACTCATGAACCAACAATAGGGAGGCTCCAGCCAATTCCCCCCATCCCCCGCTCCGCAGCCTACGACCCCAGAGCTGGACCGTCCTGCCCTGCTCAGTAGCCTGGCACTGTACGTTTATTACCCACTCTGCCACTTCTACAAAGGAAAATGGACGTGCACCAGCCTTTGTAAACTGAGCTGAGATTTCCCCGGCACGTCAACCAAAACGCACTGGGTTAGGTAAAATATAAAACCGGTTTATTAACTCCAGACAGAGAGATTGTAAGTGATTATAAGTAGTGAGCGAAGTGATCAAAGTCGGTTACCTATGAAATAAAACAAATTCACAGTCAGAGTTCTATGAACTAAGCAGGAGTTGAATCAAGCCGTCTCTCACCTTGATGGTCTAGTTCCTTACCACGCAGGCTGGGATTCTCCTGTCCAGCCTGGGCCACTGCCCCAGTTCAGTCTTTGTTCTCCAGACGTGTTTCCAGGTGTTGAGTTGTGGGGAGAGTGAGGCCAAGTGATGATGTCACTTCCTCTCTTTATAGCTTCTTCCAGTTTGGTGGAAAGATCTATGCTTCTGATGTGGGGATCCATCCCCATTGGTCAAGCCTTATCCATCGCTTACATGCCCTCTCTGAGAAGTCTTCGGGGATGGTGCCATCAGCACGTCTGGCAACTCCATTGCTGTGGGCATTTCCCAACCTCAGTCACACTCACGTAGCAAAACTTCATCACTTCCCATCCAGGGACAGCTCACACAGTGCAACAGGGTGTTAATGTTCAACAGATCAGAACTTAGAATGATGCCTCACAAGGCAGGCTTTGTACAAAACATCCTCATTGTATTGTAGAGGTGAATATGGGAGTTTCAGGGTGCTGCTTTGAGGCACAGAGTGCCACACCATCGCCACAGCTCTGCCGGTGCCCCCAGGCTTGACTGCTACCCCCAGCTCTGCTGGTCCCACTCAGTCCTGACCTGCAGCTTCCTCTTGATTTGGATTAAAGCGTCTAAAGATGTCTTGTTTCACCCCTTTCCACCTACAGCTTTGGAAGAATAGCCTTGATCCAAAAAGCGTAATGAAAGAATTCTGGGAGTGTGTCCAGAAAGCTTTGACTGAAGGTAAGTGTCTTTGTGAATATTCATTCATTATTACTGCATCAATTGGTTAAACCAATCAGGAACATGGTCAATACTGCCATTAGATTTGCTTTTCTTTCTATAAACTTTTTATTACATTTAAAAATATATATATGAAAAACAAACATAAGCTATACGTAATCTTTTGCTACCTAATCTTCACTACACTTGAAATATTTCATTCTACATAGTATGAATGGTTAAAATCAGTTATTTGTATTACAGCTTTATTCAGCTTCCTAGTAACATCCCTTAGGTTTAAAATTACATGTTAAGCTTGTTAAACAATGTTATTTGCTAGGAAAAATGAACTCTGCAATTAAGTTCTGCCCCAAGCCTATGGGTATAGGAACCTTCCCATGGCACTTGGGTTAAGTTAGCACCAGCTGAATCTCAGCACCAACATTTATCTGATTTAGCGGCACGTGTTTTGAACAGTCAGAGAAGGGTCCAGTGCATCCACTACACGATTTTCTGCTGGATTAATCTTAACCGAGGTCCAAGGAGCAGTTTAGAGCACTGAGTCAAATTTGTTTCCATTGGTTAGCAGAGAATAATTGGCCTAGTTCCTCCTTCTATTTCATTTTTAGGGAATCTACGTTTAATTCAAATTTGCTGGCCAAACATCTACTGTTGCCATAGGTCTTGGCATTCTGGGTAATATTTGGAGAAATGAAAGCAGTTCAGGTGGGTCAGGGCAGTGCCGGCATCTGGGGCAGACAGCTGGGAGGTGGCATGTTTAAGTTGGGTGTGTTGCCACTCCATCTTAGTCCCTAGACCGGATCTTTCTTTTAATATTGTAAAAGAGAGGAAGGTGTCGTTTTCAATAAATTGACTGATGGTCAAAATCCAATCTGGCCAAATGATGGGATTGCCCATTATAGAGAGTTTTGAGGTCCCATGAAGGTCCCTATACATGATAATCAAGTCCCCTCTGTGATGGTTTGGGACCCCTGGGATGTCACCTGAGGTGCTGAAGATACCAATGAGTCCCCTTTTTTCTGCCAGCCTGGGCCCCTTTGAGCCCTGTCTTGCCGAGCCAGGCTCTCCAGCCTCCTCCAGCAAAGCACTCAAGCAGGGCCACCCAGGGCCGTCCCTAGACATTGTGGTGACCTACGCAGCCCCGCTGCCCCCACGTGGGTGGGGGCTGCACCCAAGGTCTGTGGGGGGCAGGAGCAGGCTTGGAGCTTGGAGGGAAACTGCCCCCCCAGCACAAGCCAGCGTAGCGGGTCGCTCCACTTCCCGCAGGCCGGTGAGTACAGGGCGCGCCCGACCCCTGCTGCAGTCCCCCGGGACGTAGCTCAGGGGAAGGGGTGGAGTGGGGGTAGGAAGAGACGGAGGAGGTGTGGGGGCAGCTTTCCTGGGCGGCTCAGCCGGCCGGGGGATGGGGCTGGCCGCTGGAGCAGCACGCAGCTGCGTAGGGCACCAGGAAATTTTGGGGAATTTGGTGCCCCACATTTCCGGGTGCCCTATGCAGCTGTGTACTTTTCATATGGGTAAGAACGGCCCTGGGGCCACCCCCAGCTGCAGAAGATACAGACACTGAGATCAGCTCTGGGAATGCTCAGCTTAAAGCACTTACCACAGCACCCAGATGTTCACCCCCCCCCTTGTGGTACAAACCCGAAGTTATATGAAGTTTGCCTCCTCCCTCAATGTGAAGGAAGCTATGCACAGCTCCCCACCTCCTTAAACTGGGATATGCACAAAAAAAGTTTATTAACTAAAAAAGGCGGCAGATTTTAAGTGGTTATAAGTGGTAACAAACAGAACAAAGAAGATCACTTCAGTAAATAAACAAAACACACTTGCTATCCTTAGAATACTACAGAAATTGGCTACAACTAAAATTTCTCACCCTAAATATTGCTCCAGGCAGCTTCTTTCACAGGCCAGACAAATCTTTCCAGGCTGGGTCAGCAGCTGCTCCCCCCTCAGTCCTGTCTTTTGTTCCCAGGTGTTTTCCAGTGTCTCTTGGGTGGGGAGGCAGAGGTGAAGACAATGATTGTTTTTCTCCCCCGCCTTATACAGAATTTCCATAGGGCGGGAACCCTTTGATTCATAGAATCATAGAGTATCAGGGTTGGAAGGGACCTCAGGAGGTCATCTAGTCCCACCCCCTGCTCAAAGCAGGACCAACCCCAACTAAATCATCCCAGCCAGGGCTCTGTCAAGCCGGGCCTTAAAACCCTCTAAGGAAGGAGATTCCACCATCTCCCTGGGTAACCCATTCCAGTGCTTCACCACCCTCCTAGTGAAATAGTGTTTCCTAATATCCAACCTAGACCTCCCCCACTGCAACTTGAGACCATTGCTCCTTGTTCTGTCATCTGCCACCACTGAGAACAGCCGAGCTCCATCCTCTTTGGAACCCCCCTTCAGGTAGTTGAAGGCTGCTATCAAATCCCCCCTCATTCTTCTCTTCTGCAGACTAAATAACCCCAGTTCCCTCAGCCGCTCCTTATAAGTCATATGCCCCAGCCCCCTGATCATTTTCGTTGCCTTCCGCTGGACTCTCTCCAATTTGTCCACATCCCTTCTGTAGTGGGGGGACCAAAACTGGACACAGTACTCCAGATGTGGTCTCACCAGTGCCGAATAGAGGGGAATAATCACTTCCCTCGATCTGCTGGCAATGCCCCTACTTATACAGCCCAAAATGCCATTAGCCTTCATGGCAACAAGAGCACACTGCTGACTCATATCCAGCTTCTCGTCCCCTGTGACCCCTAGGTCCTTTTCTGCAGAACTGCTGCCTAGCCATTTGGTCCCTAGTCTGTAGCAGTGCATGGGATTCTTCCGTCCTAAGTGCAGGACTCTGCACTTGTCCTTGTTGAACCTCATCAGGTTTCTTTTGGCCCAATCCTCCAATTTGTCTAGGTCCCTCTGTATGCTATCCTGATCCTCCAGCGTATCTACCTCTCTCCGCAGCTTAGTGTCATCTGCAAACTTGCTGAGGGTGCAGTCCATCCCATCATCCAGATCATTAATAAACATGTTGAACAAAACCGGCCCCAGGACCGACCCTTGGGGCACTCCGCTTGAAACCGGCTGCCAGCTAGACATGGAGCCATTGATCACTACCCGTTGAGCCTGACAGTCTAGGCAGCTTTCTATCCACCTTACAGTCCATTCATCCAGCTCATACTTCTTTAACTTGCTGGGGGATTCCCCCCACTCCTCAGTGGAAAATTACAGCAGACCATGGTATTGGTTAGTATCACTGTCATTCGTGAGTCAGTAGCAGTATGCGATGTCCACAAGGCCAAGCCTTTTCACACTCCATTGTCTTTGCTGATAGCCCATTAGCACTGTCTGGCTTTTCCATTGTTTTACCAAAATGTTAGCAGTGGGAGAGACCCAAAGCAGCAAATATGAAATACAGATACACAGGCCAATATTCCTCACTCCAGATACGAAAACGATACAGTCATACAAATAGGATAATCATATTCAGTAACTCATAACTTTTCCAGTGATATCTTACATAAACCATCTTGCACAAAGTATATCTCAGTTATGTCATATTCATATTCTTAACCATATTTTCATATATCAGGGGGTAGCCGTGTTAGTCTGTATCCACAAAAACAACAAGGAGTCCGGTGGCACCTTAAAGACTAACAGATTTATTTGGGCATAAGCTTTTGCGGGTAAAAAACCCACTTCTTCAGAAGCATATCGAGTGCAACGTCACAACCTCTTAATCTTCTTTTTGATAAAGAAAACAGACTAAGGTCCGTACAGCCTGGTCTACACTTAAAAGTGAGGTCAACCATAGCTGTGGCACTCAGGGGTCTGAATACTCCATACCTGTTGTGACCCAGTGTGCCAGGGGCAGCCCTCACTGGAAATGCCAAGGTCAGGGCAGGCTGTGAAATGGAGAGCAGATACTCCCAAGGCTGGTGGGTAACACTGAAGTTAAACTCCCCAACCAGTCACAAACTGAGCTTCTGATTGCCACACACACACACCCCCTCTGGTTATCGAGAAGTAAAAAAATAAAAATAAAAAGCAATACACTGCATCCCAGTTCTCTGGCTCCCAATCAGCACCTAGGTCCAGTCCAGTGAGGAGTTATCTAAAAACTCTGCTCACATATGCAAAATGTTCTTCTGCCCCCAAAAGGCCAGTCAGGTTGCCTGGTCAGTATAGGTTTGGCTCTTACCCCAAATACCAACATGCTGGCCAATCCTTTAGTGTCTAAAGCTAACGGTTTTATTATAAAAGAAAGAACAAGAAGAGAGTTGTTAAATGGTAAAGCAGCCAGATACATACAGCGATTTCCAAGTCCATAGATCAGGTTCTTAGCAGCGCTGGTGAGGTTGCTGGCTAGAAAATCCCTCTGGAGTCACCCACAGCTGGGATGGGTCAGTCAGTCCTTGCTCAGAGCTTCGTTTGTAGAGACGTGACTCAAGAGGTAAGAAGCAGGACTGAAGACAAAATGGAGAAGATGGGGCTGCCTTTTATATTCCTTTTGCCTTGTGGCCTGTACTTCCTGTGTCCCAACCACAAGCTGCCCAGCATATGGCTTGGAGGCCTTAGAGTTCTGTCTTAGGCTTGTCCCTGCTGAGTCATAGGTGCATCCCTTGGCTCCTTTCAATGGGTCCATGGTACAGCTGGCGAACCTTGATGGGCCATGGAGCAGGCCAGGCCGTGCTGCTGCCAATCTGTCTGGGGGTGTCACCCAGGTACACAGCACACATTTGGAAATACAGATCTACCCTACATGTCTATAACTCGTAATACAAAGGTGATACAAACGTATAAACAAGGTTATCATACTTGGCAAATGATAATATTTTCACTGATACCTTACATGGCATCTCTGGTCAGATTCCTCGCAATTTTATAATACTGTATTGGTAATAACATCCTAAAATGTCCCCTATATTTCATACAGCGTCACACCCATGAGTGCCGTAGCTATGGTGAACTAAACCCCGGCAGATCTATTGGGGAACATTTTTCAGGTTTTTTCTCTTTTTCCACCTGCTGTTGTGTCATTGGCCAGAAACTCTTTCTGAGACAAACTTCAGATAAAGGGAAACTCATTCTTTAACTTCCCAAGGAGTTTGCCAAAGAGGTGCACCCTTGCGACCGTGGTAAAGGACATAACACCAATTTGCACTGGGTAAATGTTGTGTTTTTATAGCCATGTCCCGAGGATGTTCTTAATCCCATTTCAACCTGGCTTGTGTTGCTGTTCTCCAGTCAATTCCTTGCCAAGTGCGACAGCCCTTTAATACCAATATAACAGCACCCGTGCTAGCAGGGGTTGTATGGATTTTCCTATATTGGCAGAGGCAGATTTACAATGAAACACACAAGTGCCCTCACACGGGGCCCCCCAACTACAGGGGCCCCAGGGCCGGGCAGCCCAGCACCGTCCAGCACTCCCTGTGGGGGGAGGCGCTGTGGGGGAGAGCAGGGATGGAGCTGTTTAAGAGCCGTGCTGGAGGTGCAGCGTGCGGTGCACTCTCCCAGCCGGTGAGCCGGGCTCCTGCTGTAGGCTGGCGCTGGCGGCCAGGTGAGGCAGGCAGGGGAGGGGCTGACTGGGGGTGTGCTCCCCTGGTGGGGCGTCCGTCCGCGCCTGTCCTGCTGCCCTGCTCCTCTGGACCCCGGGCAGCACAGGTGCCATAGGCACCGACTCCGTGGGTGCTCTGGGGAAAAATTAGTGGGTGCTTAGCACCCACTGACAGCCATGCTCCCCTCCTCTGAGCGTACCGTGTCTCCGCTCCTCCGCCTATCTCCCAGCGTTTCCCACCCGGCAGCCACCAAACAGCTGTTTGGCAGCGTTAGCATGCTCCGGCAGGGAGGGGGAGGAGCAGGAACATGGCACGCTCAGGGGAGAAGGCGGGACCGGGGCGGGCATTTGGGGAAGGGGTTGGAATGGGGGTGGGGCAGAGGCGGGGCCTCATGGAAGGGGTGGAGTGGGGACAGGGCCAGGGGCAGAGGTGGGGCGAGCACCCAGGGGAAAGTGGGGAAGTTGGCGCCTGTGGCAGGTGCAGCCCCAGGCATGCACTGCTGCTGGCGGCCCCTGGAAAAAGGCCAGGGGAAGGGCGCGGCAGGCCAGGGGGTCTCAGCTCTCACATGCTGCTGCCACCACAGATCGCTTTCGCAGCGAACAGGAGCAGCGGCGGGACAGGGACGCGTCCGCCAGCCAGCCAGGTAAGGTGACCCAGCGGCCGCGACTGGGACTGCCCCACGCCCCGACGCCCCCCC